GGTTATCATTAGCAGGAAGTGATGGCTTACATAGGCATGCTGAGCTTTGGCGTCTATCATGGAGAGTAATTGGAGGGTCCAGGGTATGAACTCCGCTAAACCCTAAACCTTAAGCCTTAATCCCTAAACCCTAAACCTTAATCCCTAAACCCTGAACCTTAATTCCCAAACCCTAAACCCTAAACCTTAGACCCTAAACCCTAAACCTCAATCCCTAAACCCCGAAATTTGTAGGGAAAACCGTCACTCCATTTGTAGCCACCTCTGAGTCCCGAAAAGGGCGCAGGTTACTTAGATTCATTGGGTTAGGGTATAGGGTTTAGGCTTTAGGGTTTAGGGTTAGGTTAGGGCTTAGGCATCCCCAGTAGCCTGGAATTTGGGAAGATTGGGGGAGAGTTCCGGTGTACCTGCAGGATCTCTTGACTTAGTAAGTCTAATTAGTGACTAGGGTCTTGGGGCTTGTAAAACGGGTTATTGGGGAGAGTAGGTAGACTTACTAAGTCAAAAGATCATCCAAGTATTAAGGTATATCAGAAGATATTGCGCCTGAATAGTTTGGGGTCTCCATGTTTCAGGGTCCTATAGTAGTCCTATGATAGATAGATGCTGAAGAGCCATAGCCGGAAGAAAGCTGCAGAAGCTCTTGTTTTGTGGGCTGGTAATGTTACTAGGGTTTAGGGTTTAGGGTTTAGGGGGGTGGGTGGCTACATGTAGCCCACAAGCCCCACAGTTTGTAATGCAGACCTGTTGATAACAGTGTAACATGTCTGTTCAGCGTAGAGCCTTTTGACTACAGTTGCCAGAGTGCGTGATGCTGAGCAAGCTATAGTGGCCTCTCATGCCCTTTCATCAGTGGTTGATAGCGATGTGCACCAAATGCGCTTCTTCTTGGCGGGCTTGTGTGATTTGAGTAGTATCATCGAATATTTATGCTCTGCTCCAGAAAGTTGAGCAAGATTACGCCCTCATCTTGGGTAGAGTATTGAAATGCAGATATAATATACTCCTACTTAGTTCAACCACCAACAATATACCCTGAAGCTAAACTCTAAAACGAACGATGAAAACCTCATTAGCCCTGTGGTAGCAGGTTGGGGAGCTAAAGCTTGCAACCACGCTTCTCCACGAGGGACCAGCACATGGATTTGATCCTGACACTTGTCCCTGGGCTTGGTCTAAGGATAATGGAAAACGAAATGGAAATTACTATTTGGGGCGTACTCGTAGGGTTTAGGGGGTTTAGGGCTTAGGGCTTTTGATTTCTTCCAGACCCCCAAAACCGTGAGCCCCTAAACGCAGACGAAGTCCTTAAAGCCTGAAACTCTCCACCTTCTAGATTATTTGGGGTGGGTAAGGTTTCAGGCCAGTCTCCCGGTTTGGTTTCATTGAAAGCTTGAACTAAACTGTGTTAGTCTCAGCCTCCCTGGCTTAACCCTATATCCTAGGGTTTAGGGGTTTAAGGTTTAGGGGTTTATGGTTTGGGGGTTAGGGTCTTCGGGTTTAGGGTTTACGGTGCACCTGGTGGTGCATCTCTTAAGATCTTTAGGGTTGAGGGAGCAGGGGAGTGAACAGAGTTGTTGTCGTTCTATATGGTGGTTTTACCAAAATAGGGGGACCCCATTGTAAACCCCAAAGTAGCATAATTGATCTAAAAATCCCCCAGCAAGGAACCCCTAATTTTGGGAGACCCCCATATGTATTTGTTATGTAGAGAAACGGATCATGTAGGTAGGTAGGGGCTTTGTGTACAAGTTGTTTGCGTTTCCAGTTCGGTTGGCATGTGTTCCACGGAAACAGTCAAAGAGCGCAGCCTGCTAGAGCTTTGGTGCAACCTTTTTGGTGCAAGCCCCGTTAAATGTGTGCACAAGACCTCATTTGCAGATCGCCCAAAACATAGTAACAAGAACAACAACAGCAGCAGCAGCAGCAGCAGCAGCAGCAAAACCACCACGAACAACACCACCGCCGCCGCCGCCGCCGCCACCACCACCACCACCACCAACAACAACAACAACAACAACAACAACAACAACAAAACAACAACAACAACAACAACAACAACAACAACAACAACAACAACAACAACAACAACACCAGCAGCAGCAGCAGCAACAACAACAGCAGCAGCAAACAGCAACAGCAACAGCAGCAGCAACAACAACAACAACCCTCCCCACCAACCACAACCAGGCATACGTTTCATGAAAAGCCAAACCTAGGATTGATCCTTTCTCAACGCTCTCCCTTAACTCTGGTCCCTATACGCAAGTCCACTCCCCGGAGTAATGTCCCCCTACCACCCCAATGACAAATGTTCATCCAGAATCTCATGTTGCTGCGTACGGAGGATTCGTGCTTGAGGGGGGCGGGGTTGGGGAGGTTATAAGAGCTATAGTCTCAACTCCTTCAGGGGGAGGAGAGTCTTTCAGGGGTTACCCCATAGTAGCGTTAATCCAGACGATATTCACGTTTCCTTACGGTAGTTCAAGTAGTTCCGTGTACTTTCCATGATAGAGAAGCCTGTGCCAATGACATATGTAAGAAGAACTAACCATTATCTTCCAGAACAAATTTTTCAGAATGTATACTATCCCAAAGCCTAAACCCGCTGGTTTGTTAGGGGCGGTGGGGATTGTAGCAGGAGGCTAGGTTTAGGGCTTTTGGTGTTAGTCGTAACCCCCTGTAATCCCTCATAGTAAGACCCTTGTGAGGACAGTTGCTATGATAACCCTAATTCCTAAACCCTAAACCTTAAACCCTAAACCTTAAACCCTAAACGGTAAACCCTAAACCTTAAACCCTAAACCTTAGCCCCCTAAACCCTAAACCCTATACTGTAGGGTTTAGTGACTGAATCCTGCGAGGTTCCTACAACATCATCATGGGAGCTCTGGCACGGGAACCGGCGAGGTGTTCTGGAGACACCTTTTATTCGGGGTTTAGGGTTTAGGCTTTGAATCTAGGAAACCCTCATGTGGGCTTAGGGTTTAGGATTTATAGAAGTTGCATAGGGTTTTTGGTCCGGTGTTTCGCCGGGGTTTCGACCGTTCTTTTCTTTGTTTTTGGCTGTTCATGACCCTATCCAGTATACATGTTGTTCTTTTTATGCTGGGCTTGAGGGTTAAGTGTTGAGGATTTAGGGTTTAGGGTTCGGTTATAGAAGTAGTCAGGGCGCAGGGTTTCCAGTAGGGACCAACGAGGCAGGGCAACATTTTAAGTCATAACCCAACAATATCCTGTAGTCCCCTAGAATTGCTATTATGAACCACGCCAAGTGTTCCGTGATCCTTGCCCTACCTAGGCAAGGGAGGGCGTAGAAGTTCAGAGCTGTTGGCTTCAGAGCCTCGGCCCAGCAAGGAAATGTACATGGGGATTGGTCTAAATTCCCTATAATACGGGGTCCTATATTTGGGTTCCCACTATAATACGGGGCCCTACATAAATTTCCCCCATTTTGGTCCAAGCAACACCCCTTCAAAGAGAGGATTCCGGTTCCGCCAAATATGGGCCCAATAGCCATCATGTGACTGCAGTGGAGTCCTAATGTTGGGCAGGGGTTACCATGCTCCTCTATTTATCAGTATCATACAAACCGGCAGAGCCCAATTTTGGAGGGGCTGTAGTTCGGGTACTGCCCGCATTCATTAACAGTTGGATATTATTTATGTACATTATAACATACTTATATACATATATAGGCCTTAATATCACCCCTATTATAAACTGTTAGTGGTGGGGGCAGGACTCAAACTGTAGTCTTGTATGAAGGCCCCCATTTTGGGCATGTTAGCTTTAGTCTCAACTTCTTAAAGAGGACTATACTGAGGATTATATAGGGGAGTATTGTTGGCGGTTATGAAGGGGGATACCAGAAGTTTAGACTATATCCTAAAGGCCCTAAGCCTTGAACCCTAACCCCTAAACCCCAAACCTTAAACCCTACTCCCCCCGATACTGGCATGTTTGTTTTCGGTAGACTTTGTCTGCTTTGTGCAGGGTGAGGGTCGGGGGTGTCCGGGGTGTGCTGGGTGTCCCGGGTGTCTCGGGGGTCCCGAGGTTCCTCGTGACAGGTGTTCGGGGGTGCTCCCGGACTCTCGGGACGCTCTTCGTGACGCATGTCCACCGGCACTGCGGGACGCCCCCGGACACCCTGGGACAGGCACTTTGAAAGATTCTCGGCAATTGTAGCGGCTTTTTTTTTTTGAAGCGGCCGCCAAAATCCTGCACAGTTCTATGATTTCATTGACTCGCCGCGTCGGCCGAAAATTTGGCCACATGGCGGCGGGCACCAAAAACGAACTCGAGAAATTTCACAAGGGCCATTTTCTGAGGTTCGCGTTTTCACGGGGGCGTGCCTTCTTGGAAAAAAAGAGAGATTTGTTTATGTTTTCCAGAAAATTTGGCTACGCTTGTGCAGTGGTTTTCGTCGGCCTATGGGATTCCGGCTTTTCTTGTTCGGTGTTCATCTTGATTTTTGTTCTTGTCGTTACGCTTTTCTGAAAACGCTTAAGTTAGGAGCGAGAGTTCACTTGTCGCACGTGAGACTCCCTACGGTGCGGCCCGGTCCTGCCACAGTTGCAGCGGCTCGCGGGCTGATCGCCGAGTTTCGACCCCTTGCCTCTTAGGGGCCGGGCATGCCAAACGTCAGTCTTGTTGCTTCCCGCTGTATATTGTTTGTTGGGCTTGGCGTCTCACCAAAGTCATTGCGGTAAGCGAAACTGATACAGCCTTGTAAGGCTAGCGAAAAAGAGTCTCGGTGGAGCTTTGCCTACCCCCAGGTTTTACGGCGAGAGGGCGTCGTTCAAGCCGTGCTTGTGCCTCATGCATTTTGCCTATCGCTGCACCTCTTCGGTTGAGTTTCTGAGCATGGGCTGTAGTCTGTGAAGCAATGCTTGAGCTTGTGCTAGCACTATCCATCCGCAGCTCTTTGGTATCTCAGGCATCGCCGTAGCTTTGTGCTTTTGGACTCATGCCTGGGTAGCGGATCCCGCTTGGGGCCGATGTGCTGCCGCGCCCTGGCGACCGGGTTCTTCTCCTTGAGCAATAAATATTGGCTCAATTTCAAGCTAGCAGACGGAAGCAAGACGCTAGAAGTCCGCGGAACACCTGCTGCTGCTGGGGGCACCTGGCTAAGCGCCCGGGGCCGCATCCAGGCGTGGGCTCGCATCGGACATGTTCGATTAGACACATTTGGCGACTTTGCCTCTGAGGTGGGGCGCCACTGCATCCACACGAATGACTTGCCGTATGAGAGAACGTGGTTATGGCCAATCACAGACTTTCGTGTATTTGCAGAACCGGTTGCGCACAGTCGGGAGCCAGGGCCGGTGACTTGGCGTCGCTTTGCAGCGCCTCGGCCGAACCGTGCCTCAAGCGCCCCGCCAGTAGCACATAATTTGATCCAAGAACCTGAGTGCCAGGACTTGTAAATGTGTCGCTGTCTCCTCGCAACAGTCGATATCTCCACATGCAGCGGGGAGGCGGCGAAAATGAGTCGAAACGGGCCAATGGGTCGGAACTGAATGACCGGGGAAGCTGCCCGCTCTGCAGCGCGGAGTCCCTGACGAGAGAACTCGGAATTCGTGGTGGCCAGGACCTTACGTCTGCCTTGACTCGTCTGAAGGACCAGTCCGCGGTGGATTTCACATTGGCGCTCGAGCGCTCTGACCGCCTCGGCAACGCGGCCATCTGGAACGACTTCCAGGCGCGAGTCGCGCGCACCAAAAGGCTTGTGACCTTGGCTGCTGCGTGGCAAATTGTGGATGCCGCTGCTCCTCCTGCAGCAGCAGATCACCGTGACTGACTGAGGGCTCGGCTAGCTGACAACAGTTCCTGTAGACTGTAGAAGCTACTGCGGTTTTTGAAAGGTTCCGACCTGGACTCGATTTTTTTTGTGAGAAAGCTGAGGGCAGGTGTTGCTGCTATTGCTGCTGCTCAGCTGGAGCCCATGCATGTGCAAGTAGCCTATTATTCTTGCGCTGAGTGCATGCCGCATCAATTCCTGCAAAGCTTTAGTTGGCAACAGTCCTCCAATAACAAACAATGAACCTCCGACAGGTCGCCGAGATGCAGCAGTTTCTTGCTCGATTGGTTGCCTGGTTCCGTAGCACTCGCTTTGCATCTGCAGGGTGCTCATCAGCCCCAAGGCTCCCTGCAGACGTTGGCCCAGGATCATCCACGCCGGGAGGCGCTGGGGTGCATCGATCTCCTTCTTTTTGAAGTGGGAATTGAGGGCGCAGCCGTAAACCCTAACAGGCAATAGTTTGGGTGGTAGCCTGTGATGTGTCACAGCGGGTGGGGATTTGCAGAAAGCCCAGCTCCGATGGTTTCTTGGGCAACATCCACCAGGTTCGCTGGGCGCAGGTTGACGCCCCTAAACCCCAAACCCTAAACCCTACTCCCCGTCATACTGGCATGTTAGTTTTCGGTAGGGCAGGCACTTTTGTGTGTGTTTTCACCTTGCCCAGGTGCGACTTGGTACTCGAGGTCCTCAAGAGCTGCGGCAAGGGCAGGGTCCCTGACGACCCATGGGTTTAGGATTTAAGGTTCAGGGTTTAGGGTTTAGGGATGCTTTCACAGGGCTATATGACAATTGTACGAGGGATTATTTACGGATAAGAGGGCATGTCTTTGGTGTAGGGCTTAGGCTATAGATTCCAAGGGAAATCAAATGAGAGAGACCCCTTGAGAACGTCCTTTCTTAGGATTTAGGGTTTTGGGTTCAAAGCTCGGAAGGGACGTAAAATTTCAAAATGTGGCACGACACTCCAGGTTCTGGCTGGCCCTTCTAGAAGGACGTTGGGTTTAGGGTTTAGTTGGTTCTAAGACATGTTGGGATGTAGTCCTGCAGTCTGTTAAGGTGATACGGCCTGGCCCATGTGGGGTCCGACAAGTGGTCGGGCTTCTTCATGCTCATCTCCTGAATCCTCGCTTGGGGGAGTTCGGGGCTTGTACAATCCCGTCCTAGTCATCATCATCATCCCTCAGCCCTAAGCCCTAAGCTAAGTGCATTTTCCGTTCGGAGAATTCCCCCAAATAGGCATTTACGATATCAAGCCTTAGGGCCCGGCATGTGCTGTTGGCCTGGAAGTAAGTGGGCTAGGTAGGGAAACCTCTGGGGTTTAGGGGGGTTTAGGGTTGAGAGCTTAGGGTAGAAATCCGACAATTCAATTCGTATTTCACCTACCTATAGTTTCCTGTCCGCTTTCGAGGGGCCAGGCTTAAGAAGAAGCTTTGCATCTTCAAATATACCTATATGGCCCGTATGTCGTTTCTACATACGACGCATACAGCTAATGTGAACCTCCTGTCAATAATAACCCCGCCGCAAAAGCTCATTTTGCAATCTCTTGGCAATGTTGATGTACGGAGGCATGTTCAAGGGGCGGCGGCCGGGGGGGGGAGAACAGATCAGATGAACCAGGGCGGGGGTAGGACTAAGCAGCACAGGTCGCGGTACTAGTATACGCGCAAGTAGGAGAAACATAGAGCGGGGGATATTCTCGGGCGCGGAGATTTATGCTTGCCACCCCATTATTGTTATTATTGCCGATCGAACGTGTGGATCGGTTTTGGGATTCGCAACGTGGTAGACAGCAAAAGGAGTCGTCCAGCTGTTTGGCACGGCGGAATACTTTATTGCCGCCCCCTTTGTTAATGCTAAGTTTGTGAGGTGTTGAATTTCTTATACAACATATTGATGTTAACATCGCTGGCCAACCACCCAAAATAGAAAAAACACATAGAAACAAAATGGAAATAGATAGAAAATAAGCAAACACAAATGGATTCCGTGAACATAGAAACGGAATAGAAGCACAACGTCTTGGGTTTCATCAAAATGGAGAATATAAAACAAAATAGAGAACGACATTTTCTATGTTTTTGTATGTTTTTGTTATTTTCAATTTTCGTTTGTTTTTTAGTTTCGTTTTTTTTTTTCTATGTTGATTATTTGTTCCAGTTTCAGGAGTTTCTATGTTTTTTCTATGTGTTTTATTGCTTTTATTCTTCATTTTCAGGATTTCCGAAATGTCACTTATGAGGGAAATTCCTTGCACGCTCCTCCCCGGAACACTCCACAATCCTGAAATAGAAAATCCAGAAAAAAATAGAAGCGAACATAGAAATAGATGTTGCGCTTCTATTTTGTCTCTTATTTCGTTTATCACATGTTGATTTTGATGAAACCCAAGATTCTGTGCTCTAGTGTGTTTTCTACCTTCTATTTTGTTGAAACCCAAGATGGTCTGCTCTATTTTGTTTTCTATTCTTCTACTTTTGATGAAGCCCATGATTTTGTGGTGTTATTTCTTTCGTTGTTTTTAGGAATTTGTTGAAGTTCTGGGTTTTCCGGGCGAGTTTAAAATCGATGTGCTTTATAGGGGAGTTCAACCTCACAATGCTAGGTGTACATAAGGTAGTGCTCAGGGTACCCGCCATAAACTACAAGGGTCCCCACGAAGCATCCTCCTAGAGTTCTCTTAGGGTTCATGGTCCCCCTGAAGTAGATAGAATATGGCTTCGAGTATATTATAATAAGATCCCCATATACCCCATATTTTATCTACATAAGGGAGACTATAGGACTTCCCCACTCTGTAACAGTTGGATACTAAGCAACTATAAGTTGTATAGCCCTTAATGTGGCCCCTATTATTGTAGACTGTTACTGTACAGGGTGGGGGACTACCCAAGGTTTGAGGCTTAGTTGGCCTTATCTGGCTTAGTTGTTTAGCGCCCGCTTTAGGTTTTAGAACGCTGCTCCCAAACACTTCCGAGCGCCTTAAACCATGCGAGCTAGAGTCCAAACTCCTTAAATACGGCTATATATAACAGGGGAGTATTACAGGGTCATGGGGGGGAATCTAGGAGTTTAGACTACGGCCCATGTGGCTTCCAGGCCTGAATTCTGAAGATCTTCTGGTGATTCAAGCAATGTGCGGGGGTTAATTCCAAACTCTGCCCTATACTGCAAGTACAACACTCCTCAAGCTCTGAGACTCTCAGTCTCTACACCTGAAAAGAACAGCAGTTGCCCCTGACATCTTCCTCCTTTCCCTCGATTCTTTCAGCTTTAATGCAAGTAAAGAAGCCATGATGCGCAGCATCCCGTCCTTCATTCCTCTAAAGCGCCGTGTAGAAGCCCCTAGCCCCAGACCCAGGGTTTAGGGTTTCGGGTTGAAGCCTGATGGTAACTTAAAGCCTCCAAGATCTTGAGCCCAAGGTTCGGTCCTGAATCCCATAAGCCTTTCAACCTGAATGAGTTCCAAAACCCCTGCGCCCTGCGTTCTAAACGCCAAGCCATAGGCCCCACCCAATCCGTCCCATGAAGCCCAGAAGCCCCACAATCAAGCCCCGTGAACTCCAGAAACTCCAGGAACCCTCTCATGAACCATGAGCCCTATAAATTTAAGGACTTTTGGAGCGACCCCTAATAGGGACCCTTGTAGCTTATGCGGGTTAATATGGGGACTACCTAGGGATACCTAGGGATGTAATCCTTAGACTAAACTTAAGTCGGCAGCCCTGTCCCAGGTCCCGGGTTTGACTCCCAAAGCTTCAACATCGGGATTGCCGCCTGCAGCCGCGCCGGTCGGTGGCAGGAGGAGAGGACACATGGGTTGCCCCAGAAAATCGGGGTAGTCTCGGGGTCATCATTACCAAGAATGGATGATGAAACAGAAGAAATCAACATGAAATGGACACTGGAATTATACAGTGGTTTTTAGGATGTTTACTGTAGATTCTTTCGTAATTACTTACTACCATGTTTGTTTGCTGAAACGATCCTTGTATAAATGCAGGAAGAGTGCCCCCAAAACGCTAGTATTCTTTCTTAGGTCTCTATGTCTGCATCAGGGGTCTTCAGGAAAACGAGCATGGTGGCTTTGGAATGTTGAGGGGGTTCAAGAACTCAATGGCGACAAAATCTGCCGCATGCTCAACGGTGGAAAGGAGGAAACAATGGTACACCAGAGTAGATACGCAGGCTATGTTTTGAGATCGTCGTTGGTGGCTCTGGTGCTTCTTGAACTAAATCTGACGGGTACCTTTAGGGATCTTAGGGGTTGTAATGCGAGTATTGGGGGTGCGCCGTGAGGGTTCTATAGTTTAATCGGTTCTTCGTGGTAGGAAACAAGAAAATAGAACCCCTATATAACCAATGTATAATATGTTTACATGTTTCCTACCAAGCCATAGTAAGTAGTATTTGGTATGGCGGCGAATAAGGGCCCTGTGAACCCCTAACTTATCACCGTTAGTGGCTTGGGGGATCACGTAAACATAGTACGGTTTTGGTTTGCGATAATTGTGGGTCGCAGACACTCTTTGTTTTTGAGCTGCTCCTCTGAGACGCTGGAAGAATTGACAGCAAGTGCCCAAAAGCCCGACTACGACACGTTAGGAGGACCCCAACCATGTAATAGTGGTATAGTAGGAATACAAGCAGACTTCAAAATGACCCTGATTCTCCTTGATAGTCACTACTACTGGGTCAGGGGTCCACCTGAACATGTGTGTTCCAATGCTCGCTGCTCCAGTTGCCGCGATGAGCCCATCTCAGTTTCCTAATGACCAGGTACCAGCAATGCAGAAGCCAGAATAGTTACCAGTATTGTTCCTTGGCAGTCCTTATACACGTGTAAGTGGTTACATATTTAACATATATATATATATATCTCTCTCTCTCTCTCTCTCGCCTCCTCGAGGATAATATGCCCCTTTCCTCCTTAAAGAGCCCCCTCATTTTTGGTCTTTGGGTTGCAGCAGAACACCCACGCAGAATTCTACAAGCCAGAA